GCAAAAAATTAGCAAGGAAACAGAGACTCTACATGAAGCACTAGACCAAATGGATTTAATAGATATCTACAGAGAATTATACCCCAAAACTACAGAATACACATTCTTCTCAAGTGCACATGGGACATTCTCAAAGATAGACCACATGATAGGACACAAACTAAATCTCTACAAGTTCAAGAAGATTGAAACCATATCAAGCATCTTCTCAGATCACAATGGCATGAAACTAGAAATCAATTGCAACAAGAACATGTAAAGACATTTCAACACATGGAGGCTAAATAGCATGTTATTAAACAATGAATGGGTCACCGAGGAGATCAAGGAAGAAATTAAAAACTTCCTGGAAACCAATGAAAATGAACACACAACAACACAAAATCTATGGGATGCAGCGAAAGCAGTTCTGAGAGGGAAGTTCGTAGCACTACAGGCCTACCTCAAAAAACAAGAAAAATTTCTAATTGTCTAACCTGACAACTTAAAGAATTAGAAAGCAAACAAAAAGAAAACCCCAGAGCAAGTAGAAGGAAGGAAATAGTAAAGATCAGAGCAGAAATAAATGACATAGAGGCCAAAAAAACAATTCAAAGGATCAATGAAACAAAGAGCTGTTTTTTTGAAAAGATAAACAAGATTGATGGACCCTTAGCGAGACTCACCAAGAATCAAAGATAGAAAACCCAAATACACAAAATCAGAAATGAAAGAGGAGAAGTAACAATGCACACCACAGAAATACAAAAGATCGTTAACAGCTACTAAGAACAACTATATGGCAACAAATTCGACAATCTAAGCGAAATGGACAAATTTCTAGAAACACACAGTCTCCCAAAACTAGACCTGGAAGAGATATAAAACTTGAACAGACCAATAACAACTAAGGAAATTGAAGAGGTAATCAAGACTCTCCCAGCAAAGAAAAGCCCAGGCCCAGAGGGCTTCACGGGGGAGTTTTACCGAACATTCAAAAAAGAACTAACACCCATTCTCCTGAAACTATTTCAACAAATTCAAGAAGAAGGAAGACTTCCAAACACGTTCTATGAGGCCAGCATAATTCTAATTCCAAAACCAGAAAAAGACACTACGAAGAAAGAAAACAACAGGCCAACATCCCTGATGAACATAGACGCCAAAATCCTGAACAAAATATTAGCAAATCAGATCCAGAAATACATCAAAAAAATTATTCACCATGACCAAGTGGGATTCATTCCAGGGATGCAAGGCTGGTACAATATTTGCAAATCAATAAACGTGATACACCACATAAACAAAATGAAGAATAAAAACCACATGATCATATCAACAGATGCTGAAAAAAGCATTCGACAAAATCCAGCATCCATTTCTGATAAAAACACTCACCAATGTGGGAATATAGGGATCATATCTCAACATACTAAAAGCCATATATGAAAGACCTACAGCCAACATAATACTCAATGGACAGAAACTAAAAACATTTCCATTAAGAACACGAACAAGACAGGGATATCCACTTTCACCACTCTTATTTGCCATTTTACTGGAAGTCTTAGCCACAGCAATCAGACATGAAGAAAAAATAAAAACGATCCAAATTGGAAAGGAGGAAGTGAAACTGTCATTATTTGCAGATGACATGATATTATACATAGAAAACTGTAAAGACTCGATCAAAAATCTACTAGGCTTAATAAATGAATTTGACAAAGTAGCAGGATACAAAATTAACGTCAGGAAATCGACAGCATTCTTGTACACCAATGATGAACTCACAGAAAGAGAAACTGAAAAAACAATCCCATTTACCATCGTGCCAAAAAAATTAAGATACATAGGAATAAACTTAACCAAAGAAGTAAAGGACCTATTTGCAGAAAACTACAGGTCATTGAAAAAGAAATAGAGGAAGATACAAAAAGTGGAAGCACATACCCTGTTCACGGATTGGGAGAATTAACTTCATTAAAATGTCCATACTACCCAAAGCAATCTATAGATTCAATGCAATCCCCATCAAAATACCAACGACATATTTCATAGAACTAGAACAAATACTTCAAAAGTTCATATGGAACCAAAAAAGACCCTGAATAGCCACAGCAATCTTGAAAAAGAAGAACAAAGTAGGTGGGATCACAATACCAGATATCAGGTTATACTACAAAGCGACTGTAACCAAAACAGCCTGGTACTGTCTCAAGAACAGGCATATAGACCAGTGGAACAGAACTGAAAACCCAGAAATGGACCCCAGGCAATATGCTCAATTAATATTTGACAAAGGTGGCAAGAGCATACAGTGGAGTAAAGACAGCCTCTTTAATAAATGGTGTTGGTAAAATTGGACAGCTACATGCAAAAAAATGAAACTATACCATCAACTAACACCATACACAAAAATAAACTCAAAATGGATAAAAGAGTTAAATGTGACCTGTGAATCCATAAAAATTCTAGAAGAAAATGTAGGCAACAAAATTTCAGACATCGCCCTGGCCAGTTTGGCTCAGGGGTTAGAGCGTCGGCCTGCGGTCTGGAGAGACCCGGGTTCGGTTCCCGCTAAGGGCACATACTTCGGTTGCAGTTTGTCCCCGGCCCTGGTTGGTCGTGCGGGTGGCAGCCACTCGATGTGTCCCTTCACGTCGATGTTTCTCTCTCTCCCTTACTGTCTCTCCCTCCCACTCTATCTGTACAAAAAATGGAAAAATATCCTCGGGTGAGGATAAAAAAAAAAAAAAAAAAATTCAGACATCATACGGAGCAGAATTTTCACTGATACATCACCTAAGGCAACAGAAACAAAGGAGAAAATGAACACATAGGACTACATCAAACTCAAAAGCTTCTGCACAGCAAAAGAAACAATCATCAAAATGGAAAGGCAACCCACTGTATGGGAGAACATCATTGCCAATGATGTATCAGATAAGGGGTTAATTTCCAATATATATAGAGTGCTCATACAACTCAACAAAAGGAAAACAAAGAACCCAATTAAAAAATGGGCAGAGGAGCTGAATAGACACCTCTCCAAACAGGACATACAAATGGCCAAAAGACATATGAAGAAATGCTCAACATCACTAATCATCAGAGAGATGCAAATTAAAACAACAATGAGGTATCACCTCACACCTGTCAGAATGGCCGCCATCAACATATCATCAAACCACAAGTGTTGGCGAGGTTGTGAAGAGAAGGGGAGTCTAATACACTGCTGGTGGGAATGTAGACTGGTGCAGCCGCTGTGGAAAACAATATGGTGTTACCTCAAAAAATAAAAAATTGAACTTCCATTTGACCCAGTGATCCCACTGCTAGGAATATACCCTAAGAAGCCTGAAACACCAATCAGGAAGAATATATGTACCCCCATGTTCATAGCAGCACTATTTACAATAGCTAAGATCTGGAAACAGCCCAAGTGTCCATCAGTAGACGAATGGATAAAACAGCTGTGGTACATATACACAATGGAGTACTATGCAGCGGTAAGAAAGAAAGATCTCTTATCCTTTGAGACAACGAGGAGGGACCTGGAAAGTATTATCCTAAGTGAAGGAAGCCAAGCAGAAAAAGACAAATACCACATGATCTCACTTATATACAGAATATAATGAACATAACAGTCTGAGTAATACAGTAGACCCAGAAACATGGAAGTAGGGCACAGACTGACATCCCTCAGAAGAGGGGGAGGAGGGTGGGAGGGGATAAAGCACAGAACTTATATGCATGTATGCATGACCAATGGACATGGACAACTAAGCCGGGGATGGGACGAGGGTGGGGTGGGGAGGGGGGTGCCAATGGAGTAAAAAAGGTAAAGTATCTGTAACAAAAAAATTAAATAAAAAATTTATATATAAAACAAACAAAAAAAGAAGTCAGCTGAGAACCTCATGGGTCTTCTTTGTAGGTAAGCTGTTACATATCTCTTGCTTCCTTTAAGATTCTCTCTTTGTCTTTAGTTTTTGGCATTTTAATTACTATGTGTCTTGATGTGGGCCCATTTGGGTTCTTCTTACTTGGGACTCTCTGTGCTTCTTGAACTTGAATGCCTTCTTCCTTCACCAAGTTAGCAATGTTTTCTGTCACTAGTTCTTAAAATATATTCTCTAACCCTTGCCCATTTTTCTTCCCCTTCAGGGACCCCTATGATTCAAATGTTATTACGTTTCCAGTTGTCCCACAGGTCTCTTAAGCTATCTTCCTGTTTTTTCATTGTTATTTTCTTTTTTGTTTTCTGATTGGTTAGCTTTTTCTACCCTGTCTTCTAATCACTGATCCGGTCCTCTACTCTGCTGGTTAGTCCTTCCAATGTGTTCTTAATTTCTGCTATGTTATTCTTCATTTGCACTTGGTTTGTTTTCAGTGTTTCTATATCTTTACCCATGGTGCTGATGTCCTTTCTCATGCTGTTGAGCTTCCTCAAGATCATGGCTCTGAATTCTACCTCTGATAATTTGCTTAGCTGTATTCATTGATCTTATCTTCGATAGAGGTTCTCTTGTTCTTTCATTTGGGTTTTGTTTCTTTGTTTCACCATTTTGGCTATCTCAGTGGGTTTTGGAGCTTGCCAAGTTTTCACTGTGGGTGTTGGTGTTGTGCTGTTTGTGGCTCCCTCTCCTGGGTTTGGATGAGCCTGGTGGACCCACGTTAAACACCTCTGTCAATTCTTACTTTTCTCGGTAGATTTGCAAGCCCAGGAAAGGTTCAGTTATCCTCTAGCTTTTACCTGGAGGCTAGTAGTCTCAGTTACTCAGTTCCTTGAAATGTAGCCCTGGTGTTCTGCATAAGAGGATTTCCAGAGGGTGTGATAAATGCTGTTATTAATGATTCTAAATTTGCGTTTCTTAGCCTCACCTTTGAAAGGATGAATCTTCAAGGGGGTGAGGGCTGCTGCTTTTCCTCACAGCTTTGGGAAGGAGCACACTGGCCACCATCCTTTGTGACCGCAACTCAGCAAAAACTCTGAGTGCCCTCCAAATCCCGGGTGTCCCCACAGAGTTGCAGCCCAGTCTGCCCTTTCTCTGCCATAGCCCCCAGGTGAGTGTCTGTGGCTATTTTAGCGCTCTGTCCTGGTTCTCTGTGCTGTGGTGCTGGCTTGGTCTTTATTCCCCAAGGGCGCTGCTCACAGCTAAGACTGCTGCTATCTGTGGGCTCCCAGCCTGCCCCCCTCTCACACCTCCGCAGATCCTACCAGTGTCCCTGGTTATACGGTCCTGTCCTGCTTTTTTCCGAAATTCATCTCTATTTTAGTTGTAATTCCCATTTGATCCTGGGAGATCATCTGGGTAGCTTCTATTCACTCCACCTCTATTTTTACATCCCTCCTTTGAGCTTTTTTATGACAACAAGAAACTATTTTTTATATTTTCAATGCCTCTACACAGTCTAAAAAAAACCCAGGTGTTGCAGAAAGCTATTGTCAATAAGTATGAAAAGCCGACCATCAGTCTGCATTTTGATTTGGCCAACTCCATAAATAGAACTGTAAAAACTAACTTCCTCACCTATCTCTCAGAAGCCTTGGTATATATAACACCAACTTTTGTGGTCTAGCAGCTGACTGCAGCTGAAGCTCCAGTGTCCTGCCAGCAGGAATTGTAAGGAAGCAGTCTTCTGTCCTTTTCACATATAGATATAATGCTACTGTACAATAAAGGGAAGGGAACGTGTTCTTCCTTGCCTATTTTAATTCTGCTGCTCCATTTCTGTGCATGCCCCTCACAAGCCCTTCTTCTCCATTGACCTATTTGTTCCTTCCCTTATACCTCAACCCCTCAGAAACCTCACCATGGCAAATGGACAGAATAACCTCTAGGGCACAGGATAAGACTGCAAAGGAGGAGAGCACATTACTTCTGGGTTTGGTCAGTTGGTCAGCAATTCATGGATCCAGCAGGAAGGGAATGGTAAGAAGGAGTCACTTCTGCCACCTAATACTAAAAAAAGAAAAGAAAAATTAAAGCTCTGGTATCAGCATCTAAATCAGTGCCATGAGCAAGTTGAAGAAATTCAGCTGTCTGCTGAGCTACTTTTTTTTTTTTTCTCACCCGAGGACATTTTTTTTGCTGAAGAGCGGGAGGGAGAGAGGGAAGAAGAGAGAGAAACATCGATGTGAGAGAGACACATTGAGTGGCTGCCACCACACGACCCCACCTGGGGCCAGGGACAAACTGCAACTGAGGTATGTGCCCTTAGTGGGAATTGAACCTGGGGCTCTCCAGTCTGTGGGCTCTAACCACTAAGCCAAACTGGCCAGGGCTCTACTGAGCTTTTAATTATACCTCATAAGACTATCTTTTGCCCATTTGACATTTTTTTCTCCCTTCCAAGACTAGCCTTAATGTTTATTTAAGACCAGTTTTACAGCCCTGGCCGGTTTGGCTCAGTGGTTAGAGCATTGGCCTGCGGTCCAGAGAGACCCGGGTTTGGTTCCCGCCGAAGGCATGTACCTCGGTTGTAGTTTGTACCCAGCAGTTTGTACCCAGCCTTGGTTGGGTCGTGCAGGTGGCAGCTACTCGATGTGTCCCTTTCATATTGATCTCTCTCTCTCCCTCACACTCTATCTGAACAAAAAAATGGAAAAATATCCTCGGGTAAGGATTAAAAAAAAGACCAGTTTTACTTATATCTTCCTATCAGCCCTCTTAATTCATTTTGTTGTTGTTGATCCTCACCAGAGAATATTTTCCCCATTGATTTTCAGAGAAAGTGGAAGGGAGTGAAGGAACAGGAGAGAGAGAAAAAGAGAGAGAGAGAGAAAAAAACATTGATGTGAGACAGACACATCAATTGGTTGCCTCCTGCACTTGCCGCAACCAGGGCAGGGATTGAACCGCAATCCAGATACAGTGCCCTTGACTGGGAATCAAACCTGTGACCCTTCAGTGTGTGAGCCAATGCTCTGACCACTGAGAAACACAGACTGGAGCTCCAGTTCATTTTTTACACTGCAACCAAAGAAATCTTTGGAAGACAAATCAAATCAAATCACTCCCCTGTTTATGACTTTTCAGTAGCTTCTCATTGCTGTTAGGATAAGTCCCAAATTTTGCTTTATCATCATCTACATGGCCCTGAAATCTCTGACTCCTAGCTTCCTCTTTAGCCTCTGAGGGCCTATTCTCCCCTTCACTAACCAAGCTCCACCCCACTAGACACCTTACTTCCCTTGAGTACCCAAAGCTCCTTCTTCCCTGACAGCTTTTGCACATGCAACCATCTCTGTTGGAAAGCTTTCACGTGGCCTTTGCCATTCATCTTTCAGATCTTAGCTTAAATGTCACTTTGTCAGATGAGATATGAGCTCCCTGTTATAGTGCTCTAAACAGCTCATATTAATGGCATTGAAGGTACTGACAAATGAGATTAGTTATCATGGAGAACAGCAGAAGTCCAAGGGGATTGTGGATGATCTAACATTGTTTTGCTTTTCAAAAAGGGGAAGTTAGTGTATTCTAGTAATCATGATATCAAAGGCGAACAAAGTTCTAGAACCAACTATTAAAAGGATGGGGTATCCCGGCCAGTGTGACTCAGTGGTTGAGCGCTGACCCATGCACTAAGAGGTCACTGGTTTGATTCCCAGTCAGGCCACATGCCCAGATTGTGGGCCTGATCTATCCCCAATGTGGGGCATGCAGGAGGCGGCCAATCGATGTTCTCTCTCATCAATGTTTCTGTCTCCCGCTCCCTCTTCTTTCTTTCTCTAAAATAAATAAATAAATAATAAAGGATCGGATATTTTATTACAGTGGAAGGGAAGAGGCAATCACTAGGAACCACAATGAATTCACTAAGATATAGTTTGCCCTTCAAGATTCTGAGAAAATTATTTCTAATTCAGAATTCTACATTCTCCCAAACTATATTGAGAGGATAGCCAGATGAGACATTATGGCATAAGAAGACTAAATATTTATCTTCCATAACAACAAATAATATTTATCTTCATTAAGTGAAAACATATCAGTAATATTATTGAGAAATACTAGAAGAAACAGCTAAAATAATAGAAAGTACTTGCCTCTAGGGGCACAAATTGAGAATGGAAAAGAAGTGATAAGGGACTTCTACCTTTTTCTCTTTTACAAGTCATAACTAACTTTTAAACTGTGTACACGTATTATTTTCATAAAAATAAAAATTAGTTTGAAAATACAAATAGCATTTGTACACACAGACAGGAATTTGGAGAGCATTCTAACCAAGAGAAATGGCAAAAATGTGAATGTAAAACTATTTGTGGACCTATGTAAGTGGACCTGCCTACAGGCATAATGGGTCCGTCCATGTTAAGGATTAATAAACGATAGAAAATTTAAACCTCCCTTCTCAAGAAGCCACTGGAATATGCACTGCATCAGATGAGACAATAAACTAAGTAAAAGGAAGATATGAGACCCAGAAAACAGGTAATGAACATAAAAGAGAGGTGAAGGGAATTTCCCAGATGATAATGAAAGAAAAGTTCAAGATAAATAGCTTTGTGGCATGCCTAGAGAGCAACAAGGCCCAAAGAAAGTAGGAAGATGGAGGGACACAGGAGGGATGTATCTAAAGAAAAAATTAACTGATAGATAACCTGATGTGTTTGACCATGTGGAGAATACTAATTCAGAAAGGTTTTACAATTATATAAGAAATTAATGACGAATTGGTGATTGATATATGTAAAGGCAGCAAACTAACAAAAAACAAGGCAGTTTTTAACTCCAGGAAAAACTGAAAGTTGATCAAGAAAGTAAGTGAAGCATGATAAAATGCTACTTGGCTCCAAAGTAAAAGATAATTACATAGCCATAACAATGAAAACACTGCCTTACTGATATAACAAATTAAAACTCTCTTCTAGGATGAAAGGAAAACAAGTTGGAAAGTTTGGTGTTATAAGAGTCTAAATATCTGTCTTCTATAGTAAGACAGCAATAAGTGCTATCTAAAAATTGAATAATCAAGAAACATCAGTATAAGTACATTATATAGAATTGTGGAAGTAAATACTACAAGAAACAGCTAAAATTATTATTATTATTATTATTATTTTTTTAATCATCCTCACCCGAGAACACTTTTCCATTTTTGTTCAGATAGAGCGGGAGGGAGGGAGAGGAAGAGAGAGAGAGAGAAACATCGACGTGAAAGGGACACATCGAGTGGTCGCCACCCGCACAACCAACCAGGGCCGGGGACAAACTGCAACCGAGGTACGTGCCCTTAGCGGGAACCGAACCCGGGTCCCTCCGGACCGCAGGCTGATGCTCTAACCGCTGAGCCAAACCGGCCAGGGCAGAAACAGCTAAAATTATTAAAAGTGGTTGCTTTAGTAGTACAGAAGTTTGGAGCTTTTTAGGGTTCTGCTCTTTATGTCCTATTAATTGATTTAACTTTTAACTATGAATATGCATTACTTTCAAAAATAAAAATTATCCTGGTAGGTGTGGCTCAGTGGTTGAGCATCCACCCATGCACCAAGAGGTCGCAGGTTCATTTCCCAGTCAGGGCACATACCCAGGTCTCTGACTTGATCCCCATGGGGGAGGGGCAGGAGGCAGCTGATCGATGTTGATGTTTCTCTCTCATCGATGTTTCTCTCTCATCGATGTTTCTCTTTCTCCCTCTCCCTTCCTTTCTCTCTAAAATTAAATTTAAAACACCCATAGGGAGCATTTGAGATCTTCCTTCCTGGCAATGTTGCCACTTTGGCTCAAATAAACTCATAAAAATTCTCTACAAATTTGGATGTTTTTTACATTAACAATTACTGGCAGAATTTTGAAGAAGCCCAATCAGGACCACCCCGTGGATCTGGACCCAGTGCTAAGTACCAGCATGGGCCCACTGTGTCCCACAGGCTTCCCACTTCAAATCGGGGAAACTTGGAAAGGACATAAAGTAAAGACACTCTCAAACCTCGTAGGAAGGGATCTTAACAGGCACCTAACCACTGAAGGGACCCCTACCATTGCTTCTGCCTACAAGGTACAACAGATGTTCCTCTAGGATGAAATCCATAAACATAACCAGTATATTTGAAGGCAAAATTGACAAGATTTGATCACTGATTTAATTTTTGAGACAAAGGAGAGAAGGACTTTTAAAATGACTCTAAGGAATTAAGGTTGGTAAATGGTGCTTATTAGTTTATTCATTTCAACAAATGTTTTTTGAATATTGACTACATCCAAGAAATGTGATGGAGCCATAGTAATGTATTTGAAATATATGATCCCCAGTCTCATAGAGTTTACCATCAGTCATGCATAAGAAAATTATTCAGGGGGAATATCAGTGGAGAAAATTGTGAGTTCAGTTATTACTATGCTGAACTAACAGTAGAATGCTCAAATTAAAATATCCAGTATGCATGGTATTGGAGCTTGGTATAAGATGCTCTAAACCTCAAAAATCTATTCCTCATCAAGGGAAATAAGAACTTAGAAAATCTATTGTGTTTAGTGCTTCAGAAATCCTGCATGAGCTTTAAGAGTGTAGTTGTATTGGAAGCCAAATTACATGAGTTTATCAGTGTAAAAACCATTCATTTGCAAAGCTTAATGGTGGAAGAAAGAAAAAGTGCAATAGCTAGGAGGCCCACCAGGGTTAAGAAACTTTTTTTTAAGCTAAAGGAGACCTATATATGTTTAAAAGCAGAGAAGGATTCTGTATAAAGAAGAAGCTAAAGATTTTATTTTTTTTATTCTCACCCGAGGATTTTTATTGATTTTAGAGAGAAAAGAAGGAAGAGAGAGAAAAACATTGATGTGAGAAACATTGACTGGTTGCTTCCCATTTGTGCCCCAACCAGGGATTGAACCCGCAATGTAGGTATGTGCCCTGACCAGGAATTGAACCCACAACCTTTTTCGTATACATGATGATGCTCCAAACAACTGAGCCACCCAGCCAGGGTGAAAAGCTAAAGACTTTAGAAAGAGAAGATAACTGAGGAAGTTGGGTATGAAATGAAGTAAGAGGGGATGGACTGCAAAAAATGAGGCTCAGGTTTGAGAGGGGACGAAGGAACCTTCTTCCTCTAAGACAGGAAGGAAAGCTGAGAGGGGAGAGAGGTAATCAAATGGTGTTAGAGAAAGAAGATGCACAAGAGTGAACAGTCTCTATCTTTTGAGCAGTACTTAATTTTTGTGAGAAAGGTCAATTGGGGAAGAGGATGGAGCTTTGTAAGGAACCAAATAATTGAATTTGAAGTTCAGATCTAAAAATGAACAAATTAGGGGGGGTATTAAACATCCTTATATCCACCACTTTATACTGTTTAAAATAATTGCAGATTGCACCATCATTCAGTCTTCCTGATCAATTAATTCATATTTTATCTCACCCAAGCCAACATTTAGATACTAAGGCTCAGGCAGAATGTCATCAAAATCCATTAAAAATGGCTCTCTCCCCAGCAGTGATAGTGATTCAAACTCCCTTAACTATCAAATTTAATCTTAATTAATATTTCTGTTGGTGTCTGTTTATTTTTAAGTCATATAGTTCTTAGTGTCTTGCTTTCTAGTATTTTTAATTCCATTTGGTATTATTCAGCAAGTATTTAGTCTGCCTTGCTTGAAAAGTATTTGCAATTTTGGTTTCACTTATATCTTGTCACAAGGTATAACTAGAATACATAAATATGCACAAAACAGAACGAACACAAGATTTTATTGAGGACAAAAATCATGCCTTATTTATCTTTATCCCTTTTTTCCAGGGAAGAGTGTGACACACTGATGAGGTTCAAGAAATATTTACAAAGGAATGAATGATTTTCTTTGTGCTGTTATGGAGAGAGCCCTAAACTGAGATCTAGGAAATGTTTATTCTGACTGAAATCTAGAGTTCCTCTTGGACCAATCACATACATTCTCTGAACTTTATTTTCCCCATTGGAAATTGAAGGGATTGAGTAATTTATTAATTACTTCTGAATTGTTATGCCATTTTTAAGCAGATAAAAATTCAGGTTTCCAAGTAGCCATATTTATATTGCTGTTAGAAACATATTCTAAGTCCCTGGCCAAACCAATTGTCACTGCCTATGAATTAGAGTAGATCTGTACCTCAGATTCTCTCTCCTCAGCACAACTGACAACCATATATGCTATTCAAAGTTCTGTCCTCTGGGAAGATTTCCCTTTCCTATTGTGTTTTCAGAGCACCCTGTGGTCAGATTGTAGTGTTGCAGTCATCCACATTCAGAAGGTGCCATCTTGCCCTGGCCGGTTTGGCTCAGCGGTTAGAGCATTGGCCTGCGGTCCGGAGAGACCTGGGTTAGGTTCCCGCTAAGGGCACGTACTTCGGTTGCAGTTTGTCCCTGGCCCTGGTTGGTCGTGCGGTGGCAGCCACTCGATGTGTCCCTTTCACGTCGATGTTTCTCTCTCTGTTTCTTCCTCTCTCTCCTTCCCACTCTATCTGTACAAAAAATGGAAAAATGTCCTCGGGTGAGGATAAAAAAAAAAAACAACAGAAGGTGCCATCTTAACTATGAAAACTTACGTGTAAATTCGGCTCCTATATTTCTTTTTTATCTTAAGACATTTGGTCATTGATAACTTACCATGAGATCACAGGTATGAATTGATGGAGGGGCAGCAGTATGGCAGGAGGAGTGCCATAGGAGTCTGGGCCACCTGCTCGTTAAATTAACATGCCTTCAGAGCCTGATCATGCTTCATCCCACATATACACCTTCCACAACATGATGGAATACTTCTGGGTACCACAGACTCTATGGCTAGGCAGATTAGATAACACTGGTTGTGATGGGAAACCTGTGTCTTTATCCTCACTTTACCAGGCAGTCTCCACCAGAAATCATCAGCCGACCAGGAGATTCTCGTCAAATGGAGAGCTCCCAGAAAAATAGGGAAACAATTGAGGTGAGCAAGATGGACATCCAAACAGGTATCTTCTAGACTTTCTCAAGCTCCCATTCACCCTGCTTTTAACACTGCCTTTTCCTAGACCCTGCCCCAAGAGCCCAGGGCTCTGCTGTAATCCACCCCCCCCCCCCTGTGAATAGATGAATAAGATCTGATAAACCTCTTCAATCTAAGAATTGGGAAACTTTTAAAAGTGTTTAGATGTTTATAAAGAACCACAGGGAATGAGCAATGCTGAGCCCCAAAAATGAGTTTATGGTAATGGAATTTAATATCAATAAGTAAATTATTTGGATGTGTGCATGAGGGTTCACTCACCTTATACCTTTCAAATCACCTTGTAACTGGCAGCTACTCTGCCTGATAACTTGTGCTTTATAGTTGTTGGGAGGGTCAAGTTTACTCTCTGTTTCAATCTACCTTTAAATATTCAATACCTCTTCTTTACCCCACCCTCCCTACATCATACCACCATACCTGTGGTTTATGAAAATTATCCTAGTCAATCCTGGGTTGAACAGAGAATGCCCAATAATAATAAAAACAAAAACAAAACTAAACCCATCAAATAAATTAAGTACTTACATTGTACTTTTCATTAACATTCAGAGTAAAACTACTCCCTCCTCTTTGTATATACAAACTTAGAGGTAGCCCAGAAGCACCCAGGCAACAAGATGGAATATGGACTTCAAAGAAACAATGGTCTTGTCATTCTTCACAGGAAGTTAATTAGCACATCTCCCCTAAAACACTGCTAAGACTATAATTGGCAGTATCTCAACTCCTGCTCAGCTATAAGTCATAATTAATAATTAAGCTATTTCTCAGGTCGTTTACATTCTGTATCTACAGGGAAATCTTTTATTTAATGACTGTTTTACTTTACCATGGGGGTTTAGCCAGATCTGATCTCTAAGAGTCTCCAGCAGACACACTCCTCTCCTAATCCCAATGCTGTAATACAAATAACTTAGGTTAAAGGAACAGAAAAGTTATAAAAGGGTGAACAAGAGTTTATAGAACAAGTATGTATATATTTGACAGATATTGTCAAATGGAGAGCTTTTCTTTCCTTTAAAGAATTCACTAGATCATGTCCTTCCTTTTTTTCTTTGGACTGCCATCCTGTCATTTCTCAGTCTACCAGATATTAGGTGTTCCCTAAAGCGTAAGCCTCTTGATAATTGCCTTGATTCAATCTACTTTATAAATGATGCTTCCTGGATGGTGTACATATTTGTAATATATAAAGAGGTCCTGCTATCAGCAATTTGTATTTAATAGAGAGATTTGAAGCTACTTTACTTTTTAACATTCTGTAAAGTGCCATATTAATATTAGTTATTGTTATTATTTGGTTGAAAAAGTCAGTATCTTCTTTGGTTAAAACCACAGCTGCCTCCAGAATATATGGTAATTTCCCTAATCAGCTATTATTCTTGGCTCAGATCATAAACAATATTTATGATCGCAAATGTAAAAAGTATTTATTTATAACCTTGAAATATTTTTTCATGAACTATTAAATGTCAACACAGTCCAAATGAAGCCTGCCAAGGACATAATTGATTCATATTCATTTTTTTTTTTTAGTTTCTATTTTTTACTAATTAATTTTTGTTACAGATGTTTCTCCTTTTCCCCCCACTGATTCCCCCTTCCCCCTCCATCCCTGCCCTATCCCCAGTTTGCTGTCCATGTCCAGTGTTCATGCATACAGGCATATAAGTTCTGTGGTTTATCTCTCCCCTACCACCCCCTCTTCTGGGGATTGTCAGTCTGTACCCAACTTCCACGTCTCTGGGACTACCCCATTCATCAGACTGTTATTTTCTTTATATTCCACAAATAAGTGAGATCATATGAAACTTGTCTTTCTCTGTTTGGCTTGTTTCACTTAGGATGATACTCTCCAGGTCCTCCATGTAGTCTCAAAGGATAAGAGATCTTTCTTTCTTACACCTGCGTAGTACTCCATTGTGTATATGTACCAGGGCTTTTTTATCCATTCATCTACTGATGAGCACTTGGGCTGTTTCCAGATCTTAGCTATTGTAAATAGTGCTGCTATAAACATAGGGGTACATATATTCTTTCTGATTGGTGTTTCAGGCTTCTTAGGGTATATTCCTAGAAGTGGGATCACTGGGTCAAATGGAATTTTTAATTTTTGAGGTAACACCATATTGTTTTCCATACTGGCTGCACCAGTCTGCATTCCCACCAGCAGTGTACTAGAGTCCCCTTTTCTCCACACCCTCGCCAACACTTGTTGTTTGATGATTTGTTGATGGCGGCCATTCTGACAGGTGTGAGGTGATACCTCATTGTTGTTTTGATTTGCATCTCTCTGATGATTAGTGATGATGAGCATTTCTTCATATGCCTCTTAGCCATTTGTATGTCCTGTTTGGAGAGGTGTCTATTTAGTTCCTCTGCCCATTTTTTAATTGGATTCTTTGTCTTCCTTTTGTGGAGTTGTATGAGCACTCTATATGTATTGGAAATTAACCCCTTATCTGATATATCATGGGAATGATGCTCTCCCATACAGTGGGTAGCCTTTCCGTTTTGATGATTATATCTTTCGCTGTGCAGAAGCTTTTGAGTTTGATGTAGTTCCATGTGTTCATTTTCTCCTTTGTTTCTATTGCCTTAGGTGATGTGTCAGTAAAAATTCTGCTGCGTATGATGTCTGAGATTTTGTTGCCCACCGTCTCCTATGGGATTTTTATGGATTCATGTTACATTTAAGTCTTTTATCCATTTTGAGTTTATTTTGGTGTAGGGTGTAAGTTGATGGTCTAGTTTCATTTTTCTGCAAGTAGTTGTCCAATTTTCCCAGCACCATTTATTAAAGAGGCTGTCCTTACTCCACTGTATGCTCTTGCCACCTTTGTCAAATATTAATTGAGCATATTACCTTGGGTCCATTTCTGGGTTCTCTATTCTGTTCCACTGGTCTATATACCTGTTCTTGTGCCAGTACCAGGCTGTTTTGATTATAGTGGCTTTGTAGTATAACCTGAAATCTGGTATTGTGATCCCACCTACTTTGTTCTTCCTTTTCAAGATTGCTGTGGCTATTCGAGGCCTTTTTTGGTTCCATATGAACTTTTGAAGTAATTGTTCTAATTTTGTGAAGTATGCTGTTGGTATTTTGATGAGGATTGCGTTGAATCTATATATTGCTTTGGGTAATATGGACATTTTAATGATGTTAATTCTCCCAATCCATGAACAGGGTATGTGCTTCCACTTTTTTATATCTTCCTCTATTTCTTTTTTTAAAGACCTGTAGTTTTCTGTGCATAGGTCCTTTATTTCTTTGGTTAAGTTTATTCCTAGATATCTTAATTTTTTTGCCGCAATGTTAAATGGGATTGTTTGCTTAGTTTCTCTTTCTGTGAGTTCATCATTGGTGTATAAGAATGCCATCGATTTCTTGAAGTTAATTTTGTATCCTGCTATTTTGCCAAATTCATTTATTAAGTCTAGTAGATTTTTGATGGAGTCTTTAGGGTTTTCTATGTATAATATCATGTCATCTGCAAATAATGACAGTTTCACTTCCTCCTTTCCAATTTGGATCCCTTTTATTTTTTCTTCATGTCTGATTGCTGTGGCTAAGACTTCCAGTACAATGTTAAATAAGAGTGGCGAAAGTGGACATCCCTGTCTTGTTACTGTTCTTAATGGAAATGTTTTCAGTTTCTGTCCATTGAGTATTATGTTGGCTATAGGTCTTTCATATATGGTCTTTATTATGTCGAGATATGATCCCTCTATTCCTACATTGGTGAGCGTTTTTATCAGAAATGGATGCTGGATTTTGTCGAATGCTTTTTCAGCATCTATTGATATGATCATGTGGTTTTTATTCTTCATTTTGTTTATGTGGTGTATCACATTTATTGATTTGTGAATATTGTACCAGCCTTGCATCCCTGGAATGAATCCCACTTGGTCATGGTGAATCATTTTTTTGATGTATTTCTGGATCTGATTTGCTAATATTTTGTTCAGGATTTTGGCGTCTATGTTCATCAGAGATATTGGCCTGTAGTTTTCTTTCTTCGTAGTGTCTTTTTCTGTTTTTGGAATTAGAATTATGCTGGCCTCATAGAACGTGTTTGGAAGTCTTCCTTCTTCTTGAATTTGTTGAAATAGTTTCAGGAGAATGGGTGTTAGTTCTTTTTTGAATGTTCAGTAAAACTCCCCCGTGAAGCTTTCTGGGCCTGGGCTTTTGTTTGCTGGGAGAGTCTTGATTACCTCTTCAATTTCCTTAGTTGTTATTGGTCTGTTCAAGTTTTCTATCTCTTCCGGGAATAGTTTTGGGAGACTGTGTGTTTCTAGAAATGTGTCCATTTCACTTAGATTGTCGAATTTGTTGCCATATAGTTGTTCATAGTGGTTGTTAATGATCTTTTGTATTTCCGTGGTTTCAGTTGTTACCTCTCCTCTTTCATTTCTGATTTTGTATATTTGGGTTCTCTCTCTTTGTTTCTTGGTGAGTCTAGCTAAGGGTCCATCAATCTCGTTTATCTTTTTGAAAAACCAGCTCTTTGTTTCATTGATCCTTTGAATTGTTTTTTTTTGTCTCTATGTCATTTATTTCTGCTCTGATCTTTACTATTTCCTTCCTTCTACTTGCTCTGGGGTTTTCTTTTTGTTTGCTTTCTAATTCTTTAAGTTGTGAGGTTAGACCATCAATTAGAATTTTTTCTTGTTTTTTGAGGTAGGCCTGTAGTGCTATGAACTTCCCTCTCAGAACTGCTTTCGCTGCATCCCATAGATTTTGTGTTGTTGTGTGTTCATTTTCATTGGTTTCCAGGAAGTTTTTGATTTCTTCCTTGATCTGCTCGGTGACCCATTCATTGTTTAATAACATGCTATTTAGCTTCCATGTGTTCAAATGTCTTTGCATGTTCTTCTTGCAATTGATTTCTAGTTTCATGCCATTGTGATCTGAGAAGATGCTGGATATGATTTCAGTGTTCTTGAACT